TATTCGTGATTTATACTTAATTTGGTTATTTATTTATTTATTGGGGTATTGCATTGATCGAAAAATTTAACTTTATTGTGCAGTTCTTTGTGCATTGGTTGGTCATTGATGTGTCTGTCTGTATTATCATTTATTGAATGAATGAATGAATAATCATTAAAAGAACATTTTGATCAAAGTTTCAGAATCCATTCAGGTTTGAAAGAAGGGAAACAACTGTTTTATATTTCTCGTGAAACTAATCATCGTCTTTCATGTAGGAAAGCCTTACTTTTTTCTGTTTTTAATTCATTTTTTCTTAGCTCTTTTCCCATTTTCTGTTCACGCTGACGTAATCCATAATGATTACGTTGTCGTTCATCGATTCATAGATGTTACATGAAATTTTCCACCGCATCATCACCGTACGCGAGAGAGAAAATAGAGTTCTATCCATTGCTTCGCTGTTATACCTGCTTCAAAATGTGATCGTCGAGTCACATATCACCCTGCATATCTCTGGTGATACAGGCAACCAAAAAGAAAAAGACCCACGAGATATGACAAGAAGGAAAATCTTCCCCACAACTACACCTTATCGGATCTCATCAAATCATACCCACTATGACGAACCCTGAAACACATATAACGTATACATGGATTAGTGCGGTGGTAAAACGGTGTGACAGAATTGTATTTTTCGATCGATCCCTTCTTTATTTAATGATCGACCTCTTTTTCTACATCTAGTTTTAGCAACGTGTATTAACTAGTTTAATAGTAATTTTGCGATTTGAAATGCCGAAGAACACACGCACTGGTTGTTGTATTTCCGAATTATGGTTTTTTTTGAGAGACTCGCCGATTCATGTTGTATTTCTGTGTCACAAATAAATGGTCAGCAGCAACAAACGAAGGTTACGGCAATACTCGATTGAAATAAAAAGAATGCGAGAACTTAAAAAAAAAAGAACGTGAAAGCAACAGCGCGGTGAATGGATGAATGTAAATTAAATGTGATATCGTGACACCACGATACGGGTATGATAGGCTATTAATGGACAATGAAAAAAGTAAACTAGACTCAAATCACGCAATACTACATTTCTAGGAATGAATGAATAATTAATTAATTATGATAGTGTAGATCTTTTTTAGCCACCCGAAAAGAAATAGCTTATTTATAGAACACGGGTAAATCTAACCCTAAAACTAAAAGGAAAATCACAAAAAATAAACAAGAATAAACTGTATAACTCCCCTCGCCGACCGATATCCCAAAAAAATCAAAACTTTAATCGCTATCACGCTCTTATAATGTGATGATTAATTCAGGGTAACTTAACTTTATGGGTCAATTAAAGATAATAATTAACAGCATCAATCAGACAATCAATCAATCAATCAATCAATCAATCAAATTGAATTAATTAAAATTTGTTTTTCCGTTTTTAAATGATTTTCAGATTGGTAAGACGTAACAGTTTAAATCCCTGTCGCTCACTCTCACACGTCAATCAATTTAAAATAACGACTCTTTAAACTGTTTTAAGCTTTTTTTTCCAATTACTTGAAGAGTACACTATTTAAACTACCACCTTGCATAGATGAATAATTGACTCAATTGACACAGTATGAAAAAACCAAAATCGTACATACACTCAACTGACGTGTATAAGTAAACATCATACCATGCATACAAATGTGCATACACAAGTGGGTGTGAATGAGTGAAAGAACGAAATTCACATAGAGATAAAAAAAATATCGTCAAATCAGTTTTTTTTTTATTATTTTACGAATTTATATAGACAAAAATCAATGAATTCATCATAAAAAGGTTTAATATAATGAAAGGAATATACAACTTTCTCTCGTATAAATAAATAAACAAGCAAAACAATAAATAAATATATAATCCTAATCTCACAAACTTTTTTACTAATTCTCCTAACACCGGATTTTCATTTGCTGTTGCTTTGTTATTTTTGTGATACTTAATTATTTGAAAAAAGAAACGTTTTTTGGTTTTTTGATGAGTTAGTGTGATGCTTCCAGCATCACAAATAATCTTAATAACACCTGATCTATATTTCGTATAGCCATGGTATGCGTCACGTACAAATGAGGATGATAACGTTAAAAAAATTATAGCTCGAAAAAGGAAGGTAAAGGATAAATAAAAATCAAAACAACACTCAACTCTATTTACCCTAATAGATATTGTTTTTAGTTAGTCAATGCGGCGTTGTAGTGGAAAAAATTGCAAACTAAAATCACTATTCTCAACAATACAATGTTGTGATTAATAATAACAGCAACAGCGACAGTGATAAAACGATAACGACAACGACAACGACAACGACAACAATTCATTAGACTTTGTGTGAAATCAGATTTTTCTACAAACCTTCGTTTCACTTTTTTTATTGTGCTATGTTCATGTTACGGTTTTTTCTTTTGTCTTCGTTTCACCATTCATTCATCATCAAACACATAAAAAAAACTTACACACAAACAGAAGAGATAAACATTGTCTATTTCTTCCTCTTTTACTCATCTCATCCTTCCCAACTAACTAAAAAAGAAGAAAAAGCCAAATAATTTTTTATCAAATGTTGTTACCTCGTTAACTTTATTAGTCGTCAATCACACTACCCTGCATCATATATTTATGTTATAGTGAGATTTTAGGTGAATCCACGCGCGCGACATTTTATATACACTACTCTATATAAATTATAGAGTACAGTACATACATACACACGTTACGTATATACTCCATCAATATCTACACACTCTATTGCGGAAAATTTTGTAAGAAAAAAAATACACACACACCCACACACACACACCCCATCATTATTTTACCCATCATCATCAACAACAAGCAAACATCGCCCCATTTTATCGATTCTAACTATAACGAAAACAACGAAAACGACCCTTAAAACCCCTTGCAGTTCTATTTTAACCATCAACAACAACGACAACAACAACAAAAACAAAAAGAAGAAAAAAAATCAAAACAAGACATACAAACATACAACGCCCTGATTCCCCGATTCCTGATTCATTTATTCCTTACATTCAAACTTTATTTTATAAACATCTGAATACAACGGAATTATCGTCATCTATTATTTATTATTATGATGAAGATGATTATTAGTATTCACAATCATTATTAAAATTTTATTTCACACATTCGACACGCGCATTTTATTATTACATGTATTTCGCCACATTTTTTTCCAATTCTGATTTTCTCTTTTTTTTTTTTCCAAAGACTAAACTTACAAATCATCAATAAACAACAACAACGACGGCACCCAACCATCATCTTATTTATTGACGGAAGAACGTATACACACATACATACATATAAACAGGACAGAAAAGAGCGAAAAGGAGTGTTGCTTATCAACAATCTCCTATACGAAAAAAATTTTGAATATTCTCAATTTCATGCATTACACAATATTTACTTGATTCTAGCTCGACACTAGTTTTTTTTATCGACTTCGGTTCACCACACGAGAGATACGAAATGACATGACTGACACGCACAAGGAAAATAGTTCGGGTTCATTATTATGATTATTGCTGAGCCCACTAGCCATGAAAATCTGGTTCTCGGTCTTCCCTACTTTTGTCCGATTATCCCAAGCTAATTATATATCTATATAAAATTATATATATATTTATATATATATATAATTTTATATAGATATAGTTATAATCATGTATGTATGTAAATATATACACATATCTATTTTTTTTCACTTGACTCATGTTAATCCATTCTGTTCCCTTTCATTGATTGATTGAACCATTACTTCATTTCTTCTCCGCAACAACAAAAACAAAATATAAACACGTATAAACACTCCCTTTATTTATTTCTCTGATTTCCTTCCTTTCTCTCTTTCATTTCCAATGACAAAATCTTGGGATTCAACTACCAATCAGGATATGCCCGAAAGGATAAAAAAAACGTTTAGCAAGAACTCGGAGGAATAGAAAGGAAATAGAAAAAAACAGCGAGAAAGAATTCACGTATAAGTTAATGAATACCGACTTTTTATTGTAAAAATATATAGTGTATGACACACAATACACAAGAAGCACAATATTTAAAATTTCACCGTATATAAATATATTTTATTGTATATAATTTATGTAAATACATTCTGTGTTATTATCGATTATTTATTTATTTTGAATTCAATTTTAATTTTAATTTACAATTACATAAATAATAATAGTAATAATAGTGATAATAAATATATATATATATATATAATACAGTAAGTAGCGGAGAGATAAATATAAACTTTTATCATTTTATTTACAATTACGCTATTCGTTTTTTTATTGCTATTATTATTATTATTATTTACTCGTCGCTAATAATTATAATTATAGTGAATATAATTAAATAAATAAAAGTATATAGAACAACTCTCTCTCGTCTTTCCAGCACCGACCCCCCATCAATAATAATAATCATCACCATCATCATCATCATCGGCAGCATAATTTATCTCTAAATTTTTCCACCATCACAAATAATAAACTAATCGGAACCCACATTTTTTTTCGTTCCTGTTTTATTTTCTTCATTATTATCCTTATTGTTAATGACTTTCGTCAAATAGACGATAAACAACTTTAGCTAACCGCCTACGACTTTTCGAACATTCGCTCGCACGCACCTTATATATACAAGTCACAATTCCGTGCCCGAGTTAGAGTCAATAATTTCAAAAACAGCAGCATACACCAACAAGAACTATCACGACACGAAACTTTCATACCGTACTTTCACAAGAAGCACGGATAATAAATACTATGCAGCAATACCAGCAACGATTACGGCAATTACCACAGCTGCCCGCACCTCCGTATATACAATACTTAGAAAATAACAATAATATTGGTCAATACCAAGAAAAACCTCTTTTGAAAATGCAAAAACCTCAAGAGAAACACCCGATAGTTATTCCAGATTTGTTGTCCGTCACAACTCCACCTCTTACACCCCCACCAAATCTTCTTTATCACGCGTCTTTGAAATCCTCTCTTGAACAACAGCAAAAACACGAACAATCAGAACAACGACAACGAGGTCCCCCTTCACCCTTGGTGTTACCTCAATTATGTCCGCTCGTAAATACAATTAACAATGATCATAATAATGGCAATCAACCAAAATGGGCATCATCACTACCACCTTCAGAAGATAATAGCTATGATGAACGCGATCATTCCATATTTCCAAAATCGGAATCGTGGCATCATTCTCGTAGCGGCTCCGCAAAACTGCTGCTAAAGAATTCGAACGGCAAGATTATAAATCTATTAAATGATGACGAGAATAGTGATAATGATGACGATAACGAGAAGAAAAATAATAATAATGATCAAGACATTTTGATGACGTCATTTGCAAGGTCACCATCTTTCGATTACGGTTCTACGCCGTCATCATCGTCTACATATTCTTCGTCTTCATCCTCGGCATCATCGGCATCATTTTATTCTGACGATGACTTTGCTGCCTCATATTTCCTTCGAAAATCTTCTTCGGTCTCTAGCAGTTGTTGCTGGTCCGAAGAAGGTGGCAACTCGTTATCTGATGAAGGAGGATATTACAATTACAACAACAACAATAGTAATCCCACTAATCTTAGTAAAATAAGCGGTATTAATAATGAAGATGTGATACAACGACCTCAACCATCGATCGGATTCATTAGTCAAATTCAACAATTACAGGATCAATTATTACCTTTACGATTGAATCAACATCCTCAACCACCAACACCACCATCGATCATAAATAGTAACAAGAATAAAAATAACAATTTAAGCGTTGCAAATAATAATAGTAACAAGACCACCTCATCGATATCATCATCGACAAAAACTACGAACACCACTTCTTCATCCGCGTCCAACACAAACAAACGCAAATACGTATGCACGTATGAATCATGCGGTAAAAGTTTTACCACTAGGTAAGAGATATCATTATTATCAACAAAAAATAGAATTCTTGTTCTACCTTTTTTTTCCTTTCTTTCGGATATTGTTTTTTTGTGTAATCTCCCTTGGTGTTTTTTTATTTTTTCTTTACCATAAAGCTTTTCTCCTCGGAGAAAAGAGAAAGGTTTTTGTGTGTATGGCGTAAATCTTAATTCAAATTAAAAAAAAATAATAACAATAATATTATTTTTATTTTTGTCTGATAAAAATAGAATTTATATTATTTTTGTATATATTTATTACATATATCTATGTTTTTTCTCGTTGCGTAACATACATTCCCATTAATGTAGATGATAGTCGTATGTATCCCTTCTTTTTGGTTGCTTGTAAGCAAACAAAATTGTATGTTCTATAACGTCTTTTTCACATCTTTCTAAACGTTATAATTCGCAACCGTCAAACATTTACTTTTACCCTTATTTCCAATCACAATTGCATTAACCACAAATTTTTTCTCGATTCAATTCATTAATACAAATGAACTAACTATTTTTATATGTCATTAATTTTCTAATTTAAATTAATTATTTCTAATTCGTTAATTTTGATTCATAAATAAATTTCTTTGTTTTGCTTTCCTCCTTCTATTCTTCTATTTCCTGAATGAAATAATTTTTAATTTTAGCATATTCACATTTTATTAACATTTTCTGAAACAACCAAATATCAATAATGACAACTAACTTTAATTTTAAATTAATTTATAATTAGTGGGCACTTGGCACGCCACAACAGAATCCACACGGGTGAAAAGAACTTTGCTTGTCTAATGCATGGATGTCCATCAAAGTTCTCACGACAGGATAATATGATGCAACATTACCGCACGCACACATCATCAAAGTCTCGTCGCGGCTCCAAAGTCGGGCAAAGTGGTGGTGTTGGCGTTGTTGGCGGCATAGTACCAGTCGGAAACAAGAATTCTTGTGTATCATTGAGCGGAAATGGTGACGGAGAAATTGGATTCAATTCACTGAATATCATTAATAATAATACTACTACTGGCTATATAGAAAATAATAATCTTTTCACTGTAAATATCAATCAACACCTCGGTAACAATAATTTAATTCACGAACCACCACCACCACCTCAACCTCTACCTCTTCATAATCAACAACAAATACAACCACCACAACGATCATCTGCACAATTTAACAATCAATATTATTATCCCTCTCGATATCTTCAAGATTCAATGATACCGACATCACAATCTGCATTGGCATTCCCACCACCATCCTCACTTGAACCTGTACATGAAAATTATCATCGCACACATAACCACCAGCATCATCATCATCAGCATTATATAAATCAGCATCGAAATCTACAGCATCATGAGCATTATCAATTTCGTCAACATAATTATTCTTCACCATCATCCCATATCAATAATAATAACAATAATAATAGTACAACAAATAATAATAATAATAATATAACTCCTTCTCTACCACCATTGTTATCATCTTCCTCTTCGATATCTTCGTTCTCATCACGTAATAGTGCATTTAGACCAATATTGTTTAGTACGTAGTATTGTTCTTCATTGGTATTGTAGTTATCATTGTTCCTCCACACGATTAATTTTTGTTTATATGTTGTGATCGTCTAACTTGTAAGTGAGCAAGTTTTTTTATATATATATAATTGTTTTTCGTTTTTCATCTTGTCCTTTTTGTCTTTACTTTTGATTTTTTTCTTTCAGTTTTTTTTACCTTTAGTTTTCGAATTCTTCCTCCTTTTATTTTTCTTCCCCCTTTTTTTATTACGCTTTGTTTTTTATCCGACCCTTCTTAGTAAATACTTTTTTTTTAAGACTTTTCTTTCCGAGCGAGAAAAAGAATATTTAAACGGAGTAGTTTCATTACACGATTACTTGCGGTATTTTTCTGTAACTGTTAATTTCCGTTTTCACATCTGACAAAGCATTACTCGAATATCTACATCACGAAAATCACTTTGCATTGCTTCCGTAAGATATTTAGATCTTCGCCTTCTGGTTTTTTGCCTCACCCACTTTCCCCATCTTTGTTTTATCCCTTTTCTTTCTCTCGTTTTAAATTAACTACTCCTTCAACAACAAATAACAAACATTCTTCATAAAAATGTAAATAAATTCCACTTAAAATAAATAAAATAAACAAATAAATAAATAAAAATAAACCAACTAAATGGATAACGAAAAGTCGATACCTGAACAATTGACTATGAATAAACGAATGAATTATTACTATACACTGTAAAAACGTTCCTACATATGTTACTAGACAGTTCCGATACTTTCTGGATATGGAAGAATAAAAATTAATTAACTCGTGTCAATGAATTTTGTTTTTCAATTGAAACAAAAAATACAAACAATTTTTCACCTTGCTCAAAAACCTGTTATAATAAATCATTTCTTATCCCCAACGATTTGATTATATGCAGTATAGCATCTAAAATTTATTGTGTTTATGATATTTAAAACGATTGAATGGTGTTATTTATAATGCAATTTGATGAAAGAAAATTCTTAATAGAGCCCGATATCATAGATTGCTCTCGAAATTGTCGAAATTTTATTAGGTTTGTAAAAGTTGAATATATATCGATATGACGTAAAAATGCCCCCACGATTTGACGGATTCATTATATAAACAATTTTCATTGGCTTATAAAGATTAAATTTCAAGTAACAGCTAGATCTAGTTTAACTCGAGAAATCAATTTGAATTTACTAATTGTTAATAGTTTATAAATTTTTACGTCCTTAAAAATCTATTTCTCTATATGAAGTTTTTTATTATCTATTTCTTAAGATCAATAAATGCCGAGTTAGATGATAATAAGAAAAAATTTTTTTCTTCGCTTTATGATTGTTTTAAAGAAATCAGCTATTCGCATTTTGGGTCTTTATATTTTAATTCCAACATCTTGGTATTTGTGATACGAAATCGACAAAAGGTCAAAATATATCGATATTTTGAACAACTAAACATTTTAACACGACCAACGAAAAATGCAACGCTTTACGCAAATGAGAAATTCAGTGTCCACAAAAACTACATTTTCTACAGCGACATTATTGGAAAAGAACGAGCATAATACAGAGTCAGTCGAAAAGTTATTTCCGCTAATCAAGTTTCTAAAATGTGAAAGTGGCCGACTTTTGTTAATGACTGGTGCAGGTGCGCTTCATCTGAAGGTAAACTTTTAGTCATATTTTTTCCTTCGTTATGATGAACTTTTTATAATATGTTCATTTTTTTCTTGATAAAATGGAAAAATAGGTGTGAGCACTGATTCGGGGATACCAGATTATCGTGGTCCAAAAGTAAGCGTTTATTTCGATTTTTTGCATTTTGCGATATTTATTTTATTCCCTAATTCTTTGTACAGGGGATATACACAGTGAATAAAAATCATAAACCAGTTTATTTCCAAGAGGTAATTAAAACTAGAATCATTGTTAATAAAACAAACACGATTTTTTTAAACCTATTTCATTATAAAAAGTTTGCAGCCCATCATCATATACGTCAACGTTATTGGGCAAGATCCTATTTGGGTTGGCCACGGATTCAAAAGGCAAAGCCAAATACGACCCACTTTGCCTTTGCAAAACTTCAATCACTTGGCTATATCCAAGGGATTATAACACAGAATGTGGACGCTTTACATCAGGCAGCCGGTTCGCACGATATTCTGGAATTACACGGCACCTTGCATCAAATTCATTGTATGCAATGTGGCCACATTAACTCAAGAATCGATTATCAGAAAATATTGAGCGACTTAAATCCCGCATGGGCTGAATTCTCGGAACTTGTTGAGCATGCAAAAGAGCATCCAAGATTAAATCCTGATGGTGACGTTGAGCTACCTTCAAACGCCTCTTATGAAACATTCAAATATCCACCCTGTGAAAAGTGCCACCAAGGAATTTATAAACCATCTTTGGTATTCTTTGGCGAAAATATCAGTAAAAATGTGAAAGAACGTTCGAATGATATGATTTCGAGAAATGATTCTGTCTTGGTCGTAGGATCTACGTTGACAACGTATTTCGCTTTTAGTTTAGTTAAATTGGCCAAAAAACTGGGCAAGAATATCGGAATTGTCAATCTTGGTCCGACTAAAGGAGATGATCTTGCAGACTACAAGATCGAAGCGCATTGCGGAAAAGTTATACCTGCTATTGCAGGTTATCTTTCGATGGGATGATGAAAAAACATGAAATTGAAAATGGATATAATCGTGAATTGAAATAATTTAATTTTGAATTTAAATAAAGAAAAATACAGTCAAAATGAATAAAGTTTATCTTGACAACTCAATACTTTGAAATATCTCTTCCGAAAACAGATCGCTTTTAAGAACATTAATATCTCAATTAGTTAGAGATCAAAATAACAGAATTCATGTAAAAAATTAGGCATATAGTTAATATTAAAATACATACTTTGGTCCAATCCAAAGCGAGTAGAGCTCGAGTACGAAACGAGACTTGCTCACTAAAGTAAATACTTCGCCACAAATAAACAGCGGATAAACCGCCCATCCAAGTCCACCCAGTACCAAAGTCTGCCACTGCCGCGTTACCAATATAAGCGAGTGACCCTAAATGTGCGTACCTGAAAGCTGGCAATTTATCGTCCAAATCTTGTGAATTATCATCTCCTGCAATAACTTTTTCTGATAGAGAAATCTTTGTCTTATCCGCCAATTCATTTAATTTTTTGCCAAGATACTTTCCTAAAAAAAAAATAATGAAGTTACTTTCGAAAATATAATAAAAATTTTTATAAATGGTTTTTACCTTGTTGATGTGCTACTTGTGCAGTCTTCAATGTTAATTTAAAGTAAATTAGGTATGTCTGATCAAAAATTTCATAAAATATCAATTTGAACCAGACTTACCGCAGGTAGTGAAGTTAATTTTTTGTCAATGTCTTGAAACATCTCTCGCAGCTCTTCTAAATCAAGAGTATCTAAGGAAAAAGATAAAGCACTTAGAAACAATTAACCGAATAAATCAATTTCTTGCAAATTAAAAATACCGCTTTTGTCTTTATCATATTTCTTAAAAAGATCGGAGACTTTTTTCAAATGACCAGTCGTAATCGGATATTGTGCAGAAATCTTTCTAGCCAACTGACTAAATTCTCCGTAATCTAAAGATCCATTCTTATCCTGATCAGCATCAATAAAAAATTGCATCAACTGCTTTACTAGATTTGGATTCTCGACTGTTGAACAATCGCCAATTGCATAGACTGACGAATCTTTGACGCCTTTTAAACGCAATCTACTATCGGTAATAAGCGCGCGAGTATTTTTCTGTTCTGGAAGCCTCTCCGAGATAGTTCTTGTTAACGGATTCATCGCTGTAGTGAATATGAATTCAAAATTTATCTGCTTAAATACATGTTTGATTGGATTTGTAATATAAATACTTTATAATTACCAATGCCGGTTGACCATAATACTAATCCATAGGGTTGTTCTTTTTCTTGTCCAGTCAACTTATCTTTGTATACAATAGAATCCTGGTTTACTTTGGAGACTCGAGCATTGGTAATAACGTTAATATTATCACGCCTAAATTTTTTCTAAGATGAAAAAGAGGAGATTCTAGAGCGTATTATGAATATAAACAAAATGCATTAGATGGGATGCTCATTACCTCAGCAAAAACACTAATTTTCGCGTCATAAGTATTTAAAATGTGATCTTGGCTCTGAATAATTGTCACAGTAATTTCATTTCGTAGAACTTTGGGGAACTGAATCAATGTTAATTACAGTATAAAAGATGGCTTGAATAAGAATTATAATGACTCACATAATTCACAAGATCCTCGATCAAAAAATCGTAAAGTTCTGCAGCGAATTCAACACCTAATAATAGTAAACGCCTTAGTGCTTAAACAAAGGAACATCTATATAATCGTAAAAGACTTTAAGTGTAAAAAATATTCCAACCAGTCGGTCCTTATCAAATCATCCAAATAGGATAAAAAAGGATAGAGAGAGATATATAGACATTCAATCTTTAGTAAAAAATCTGATATCAGAAGAGGTTTGAGCTTTAATAAGAAACAACCTCCCCAATAAATAACAATAAATAAAGACAAATACCTCCACCACACACAACA